TTTATGCATTTAGCAGACGCTTTTATCCAAAGCGACTTACAGTGCATTCAGTGCATTCAGCCTATACATTTTTTACCAGTATTTGTGTTCCCTGGGAATCAAACCCACGACCTTTTGCGCTGCTAACGCAATGCTCTACCTAATTTTGAAACACAAATAATAAATGAGGCTCAGTCATCTATTAACAAACATGCGTGTTTATTTTAGCACTTCCGTCAGTGAACGGAAACACTAAAATAAATTTCAAAGAAATAATACAGTTAAACAAGAAAGAAGCCTAAATAAGAAAGTTAAATACACCCTGTCTACCCGACGTGAGTGGCGCGGCGCGATACGACAAAATACTATAGAACTCATTATAACCAGTGATGCTACACTGGATGTGGCGTGACAAGACATGACAAATCCCTGACAGTCAACTGCCTCGTCCTGTTTATGAGGTACTAACACAGAGTTCAAATGTCCAGTGTAGACAGACTTGGTGCGGCGGTGTCGCATCCGGTGTAGACATGGTTCACTGTTCCTCCGCCAAGCAAGCGGGCGCATTAACTCCTCGTCTGCAAGCGCTCTCTTTGAAATAGGAATTGTTGCCACATTTCTTGTTAACATCTTCCATTTATCACTGTCTCGTTTGTATTTGGCCAGTTTGGAGAAAGCCTCACCAAACCTGACCAGCCACGCGTTTGCGATCATGGGAACTTGAAGACACTTGTACAAATGTGGATGGGTGACATGAATGTAGATGGCTCCAGATCGGCGATGTAGTATTTGGTTTCCCAACAAGGTCCATCGCCCAACACAAAAATAATTTGCTAAATGCAGAATAAACTGTATTTTCCTGCGCACAAACCTGCCAATCTAAAGGAAACGCTGTGTATGGCGTTTGAGGTAATTTGTGAATTAGGCTACAATAGACTTGTAGTCTAAATAAAATTCGTATTATGCTTTTTATAGAGTGTGTGATGTCACGTGCACTATTGCCGGTGGCAGTAGACAACTTGCCACCGTAGTGATGCGGTTGTCACGGCGACCATCACAGCCCTATTTGCACGGTTTGATGTGATAAGAGCTAACCGATCTTTAGACTAAATCACTATTGGTAACGCTATTTATTGTAATGCTTTTTTCCTCAATTGGTCAGAAAAACGTGGCAGGCTTGTTACTTAATTGTTCAGATGACAATATATGGTGAAAATTCTTATTTGGGTCATATATTCCAAGACGTAGGCTAGAATCTGTGATTGCGAAGTACAGTAAATATCCACACCAGTGCGGTGACTGACTGCCACACATACTCCTCAAAACATTAGATTCTTCCGCGCTGGAGCCATGCCGACGCACAACCCACGCAAGGAAGAGAATTCCGCAAACAGCTGCAATTGCAGATTTTCAAACAGATATGGCGACAAAGAGGCAAAACTTACAGACTGCAGCTTTAACTTTTTATTTGTATAGCACTTTTCACACTACATACTGTTTCAAAGCATGCAGCTTTACAGAAAGTGTATTTCAGATTTCTGATTCAACATAATCACATTTGTAACATAACTTGATTTGCAATTTTAGTAAACCAGTGGTTACTTCAAAGTTTGTAAAACTCACAATGAATGAATAGGAAGAAAGTTGTATAAAGGCTTGGAAGAAAACAAAGACAAAGCAGGTAAACTTACAAAATATATTGCTAACGCAATCAAATTAGAAAAAAGATCTTAATCAAACAGTCCATGAGGGAGATGTATTATATTTGTAAAATAAAACTACAACAAAACTACATTTTGTTCATTAAATCAGGTATAAATCTCTTTAAAGTAACAATTGCAGGTTAGAACTTTTTAACAGCAATGATGACAGCTTGTGATCGTAATGATTACAATATAAGGATAATATCTGACAGTTTTGCATGTCAAGCTAAAACTAGCATCATGTAAAGTCTTTGCAAGACAACAGTTGTTGTCCACAGGCCAATTAACACCAAAATAACAGACGCAGACCAACGCAGATGGTCCCCAGTTTATAGTACATCACTTCTCAGACATTCCAACACCCGAAATACGCAGATTCAAATTGTTCAATCGGTGAAAATATGCACCGACCAACGGTAACAGACACCAACAGGGTAACACACTGATCCTAAAAAACCCAATGAACATGTTTCTGTTTGTCTGCATCTGTCGTTGATGCTCTTTAGAACATAGCACCTTAATATTACTGAATTACAGCACAGAAAGTTACAATTACTTTTTAAATCATTCATTACCCTTCTAACATCACAACATGGGTATCATCTTAAATTCCCTAAATAAGACTTTTTTTTGGACATTCATGTGCACAAAACTCGTAAATGCAACTTTTTTGAACTACAGTGCAAAAAGTTGTAACCTGCAGTTGTTACTTTGAAGAGATATTTCTATGTGGTTTAACAAATACAACGTAGTTTTAGTGGTATAGATTAATGTATTTAGGTTGATTCAGTAATATTACATAATATATTTTATTTAAAACCAGTTAATTTAAATGGAACCATTTTTATGTTACAATTTTTTATGCTTGAAATGTAAAAGCTGGCAATATTTGTAACCTCTAGCTCAATGTTATTCAAGCTATAAAATGATAGATCAGTTCTTTGGTCCTTTGTTAGATAAATAAGCATAATTCAGTCTAAAGCTCTTTAGTGATGTGAGTGAATATACAGGCGTACAGTATATAGTCTTTGCACAGGGCGAATATGGGACATTTTGCCAGTGGCAAACATTAAAGGGAAATGTATAATGAGCCATAAGGGCAGAGAGAAATGGCAGGGCTTCAACAGCTTGAACAGATCGGCTGTGTCTCTACCAAAACTGACATTGTGTCAGTGTTTTTCTCACTTGAGAGAGAATTCTTCTCAGAGTGCACAGAAAATTGGCCTACAAATTAATATAGGAAATTATGATCCGCACTCACGAGAACAATCTTCTTTTTTCTTTTATTTTACATTCATTACTGATGGGAAAAGGCACAAACGTTTCGGCTCAAGCCTTCCTCAGTGTGTAAAGCAATTCAATCCCTCCACCCACTTTTCAAATCACTAATTATATTGACGTCATCATTCATTAGCCAATGTTCAATTACCACAATCATTAAATCATTTCCACTTAAACCCTGGACAATTTACATATATATATCCAACACAACACGTCACATCCACTAGTACACCTCACAATATACCCGTGACTAAAACAATAGTTGTTTAGGATCACATATTTATCACCATTATACAAACTTATAGTTTATCCTATCAATCATCAATATCTACTCCACCAATTAACTTTAAATTGTATAACAATGGAAAATTCAATAATTAAGAACAAATTAATATGCCACTCCTAAAAAGGAATGGCCTATAGCAGAAATATGCACACGACCATTTAAATATTCACCAATCCTTAAACAAAGATGTTTGGATTCTTGTTCTACTTTTTTTCACACAATCTCTTGTTAATTAATATGCTTGGGAGGTCAAGGCTTACCCACAAAAGCTTAAATATTAAATTTACATTTAACTGGAAGATTTGAATGCTGTTTGAAGTGCAATTGAATCTTGGAAAGCACTCTTTAAAACAGTTCAAAGCATTGTCTCATTCCAGTGATTTAGATTTTTTATGATTATGTATGTTTCTTTTTCTTCTGTGGAACACAAAACTATACTTAAAAAAAAATATATTGTCCATAAACCGCAAAAAGTGGTGACCTGCAATGATTGCTAGAGATATATCTTCATGATTTAACCCATATAAAGTCGTTTTATATAAATGAATGTATTTAAGTTGACCCTACGCTACTAAACCATATATTTGACTTAAAACCAGTTCATTTAGATGTTACCATTTGTTCAGTGTACAATGAGAGTTGGTGGGGTTGTAGTTTTAGACAAGTCACATTTATTTCTATAGCACTTTATACAATACAGATTGTTCCAAAGCAGCTTCACAGTAATAAACAGAATCAATGATGCAAACTTCATCAAATGAGACAAAATTCAAATTCTGTTGTAAACCAGCACTACAGGAGACAATAGTGTCACTATTCATCTCAGTATTGATTGAGTTCAGTTCAATAACTGTGTAAAGTTCATCAGTGAGTTCACTTCAACTATGAAGCAGCTCTACAGAAGACAGTAGCGTAATTTTTTTTCAGTTCAGTGTTGCTTCGATTCCATTCAATAACTGTCAATGTTGCAAAATTCAATTTTGAAACAAAGATGATCAGACTCTGCTGATTTTCATCATGTGGACAAAACAGTTAAAACATTGAATATTTTGCAGATGTAAGAAAATCAGGGTTGGAACAAAAAATACTTTTTGAATGAACTATTCCAATAAATGTAAAGATTAATAATAGACCAAAGCTTGCAAAACCAATATCTCTGTCCTTCAAGTAATCACAGTTCAGGTCAGGTTTACACATGCACACACACACTCTCTCCCCCAGGCTAGTGAATGAGTGGGAAGCATGTAGAAACCGTAGCATTGCGGAGACAGTCAGATGTGGGTGCACTCAACTGGGTTGTGGGCAGAATGCTGCCATGGCAACCACTTTTCACCAGCCCCCGGGCCAAAAAAATCTGTGTTCATTCTTTCTTTCCTGTCTTCCATCTCTCCGTTTCTCTCACTCTCGGTTTCATTTGAGAAAACCTTGCTAAACTCTCTGGCAGAGGATCTACTGTACTGTTGTGAAAAGAGGTTGTGAGGGGAACACTCACTCTGATCGCTTACCACTGCAGAACATCTCACAGAGGAGCAACAGCCATTCAGAAGCCCTTTAGAAAGTCTGCACCTACATAAACATGTTTTGCAGGGCAGAGGGCCTTTTGTTTTATTTGGAATCAATATTTTGCAGCTTTATCTTTTATTGTAAATCTCATTTGCATTTTGGAAAAAGTGTGTAAAACATAAAGGGGTTATTTTCCCTAATGCAGTATTTCATGTGTTTGATGTATTTGTGTGCTCAAAAAGAGCTAAGCCGTTTTGTAATAATTTATCGATTTATTATTTGACCATCATGTAGAGCCATTCTCAGTTTTAACAGCTGTTGCTGCCTTCTAGCTACATGTATAAATTCATATAACAAATCACAGTTATAGCAGCTGCATCTGGCAGTGGCCGCTGAGGTGGGGGTGGATGAAAGCAATTCCAAACCATTACCCATCTAGGTCTGTTCAACTCATAAAACTCCTGCCTGCCTTTCTCGCTCTCCATCGAAACGCACTGATTCACTGACATCACATAATCTGACCCGATTTACCAAATGCAGCAATGCCAAATGCTAAATAAACATTGGTGCTCACTTTTAGGTCATTTAGTGTTGGATGTGAAGCAGAGATTAAAGCTGACCTGATCTATCATCCTGGACCAGGAACGGTTA